TGGGGCTTTTGTATTTTTATGGACTCACCAAATTTGCAGCCCATTCAGCTCATTCTTTGGAAATTAAACTGGTACTGTAGTGGTCTGGCTTTTTGCCTATCATCTCTGCGAAAAGCCCCAAGTTCATCTGCAGCTAAAGCTATCTCTTGAAGATCTGGCAAGCACCTTTCCAGTAAGGTAATTTTAATCTCAGGGGGCAACAGAGTCAAAAACTGCTCACACAAAACCAACTGCGTAATTTGTTCTGCCATCGGTGCTCTGGAAGCATGCATCCATTGAGCACATTGACACTGTAACATATCAGCCACTGCTGAAAAACTTTCTTTATACTGGTTGTTGTGGGTTTTTCGGGCTCTTTGGCCGTGTTCTGAAAGTTGTTCTTCCTGACGTTTTGCCAGTCTCTGTACTAACTATTTCCAGAATATGTATTCATGAAGGCTTTCACGGCCAGGATGCCGACCACAGAGACTGGCGAAACGTTAGGAAGAACAACCTTCAGAACATGGCCAAAGAGTCCGAAAAACCCACAACAACTATTATTGAATTCTTTGGAGTTATAGTGAATATAACTTTTGTTCACCATTCCTTTTATTGTTAGTGTCTGTGAAATATACATATTAGATCCCAGCCATGAAAGCCTTCGCGAATACATTTCTTTATACTCTTTCTTTATGCTCCTAAACTGCTGATGTAGACTCTCTGGCATAAAACCAAAGTGGTGATGAACCAGGTCCTTAAATTCTGCAATAGGCCCAGCCTAGTGGGCATATTTTAGAAAGTGTGCTGATTGGGCATGTCATGACCAAATCTCCCTAAAGAGCATATGGTGTTCAAGTAGAGAGTTCCACAGGCTACAAATCTACCATTTTACACTGAGGCAAGTCCTCAACCATCAGCAGTGGGGGCATAAACCTGAGTTTTTCTTCCTCTGTCTCTTCTTCTCTTTTGTATGTCTTAGTGATCTGCAGTCTGACAAAGATGGACTTCATTTTTCTTACGAAGTATTGAGTTTACATGATTTTTAAATCATGCAGCATATAAACCCTGCTTTTCTTTTCCTGTCTCTTATAAATCTGTTAAATTACACATGCCACTCACATCACTTTTTCTTGATAACTATATCAAGATTTATTTATTGATTGGTTACAATTTTATTAACTGGCTGAATAGCTTAGTGAACTGCATCATGGGAGTTTTATTCTCCAAGGTGGCTTTTAGAAGAAGAGCCAGACTTTGTGCTGTTAGAGAAACTACATAGTCCCAGAGTATTCACTGTAGAAGGGAATGATAAACCACTTCTGAGTACTCTATACCTTTTTAAAAAAATTCTTCAGAGCACCACCATGATTTAGAATTGATTTAATGGTACTTAATTCTTACTGATGATCCTGTAGGTTTGGAATCAGACCATGAAACAGAAATCCAAAACCCAAGATTCCATTTTGTTTTTATTTACCGATTTAACACATCCATACCATAACGACGAGATAAACCACTTCTGAGTACTCTATACCTTTTTAAAAAAATTCTTCAGAGCACCACCATGATTTAGAATTGATTTAATGGTACTTAATTCTTACTGATGATCCTGTAGGTTTGGAATCAGACCATGAAACAGAAATCCAAAACCCAAGATTCCATTTTGTTTTTATTTACCGATTTAACACATCCATACCATAACGACGACTACGTTGGCTTGGGCACTTCGTGAGAATGGCTGATGGTCGGATTCCAAAGGATCTCCTGTATGGAGAACTAGTGCAGGGAAAGCGCCCCAGAGGGAGACCACAACTGCGTTACAAGGACATCTGCAAGCGAGATCTGAAGGCCTTAGAAATAGACCTCAACAGATGGGAAACCCTGACATCTGAGCGTTCAGCCTGGAGGCAGGCACTGCATCACAGCCTCTCCCAATTTGAAGAGACCCTTGCCCAGCAGGCTGAGGCAAAGAGGAAGTCACAAAAGCAGCAAAACCAGGGAGCCAGACAGGGGACAGATTGGATTTGTCCTCAGAGTGGAAGGGATTGTCACTCTCGAATTGGCCTCCTCAGCCCCACTAGACGCTGCACCAAGTCCTCCATACAGAGCACGGTACCATAGTCTTTCTAGACTGAAGGATGCCTAACTAACTAACCATAACATTCCATCAGAAATTTTGTATTTTCAATAGGCAGGGCAACTTCCATTTAAAAAACCCTAAATAAATAATATAATAGAACAATGTGTATTTTATTTGGTCTCTGGCTGCAGAGCCAGAGGTTGTGAGTTTGATCCTCTCCTGTGAGTAGTCATCCTGTGTGGCTATTGGCAAGTTGCACAGCCCCAGAGCAGCCCCAGAAGAAGGAAATGATAAATCACTTCTGTGTATTCTCTACTTGGAAGACCCTGAAAAATGTCAGAGCTGATTTGATAACACATGATTAAGATAAGTCAGAACTGATTTGATAGCACATGATAACAGGGTACCAGTAATAAAATTTGCCAGATAAATGTATTGCCAGAAGGTGCCTCTAGTTTGGGGTGGGCCACCATGGACACTGTTCAGCTCTACTTCTGTGCAGTCTCACAAATGATCACAATGGCTATGGAGGATGGGAAAGGAAATTTGATCATATATGCTTCAGCCATGAGTCCCCATCTCTGTTCTAAGTGATGGAGGTCTAATCATCACTGTTTCTGTGATGGATATACTGTTTCTTTTTATTTACTCTATTCCTCTAACTACAAGAACCACAATGATGAAGGAAGCATTCAATTCACAAAGAGACATTGAACAATGTGTATTACTAGAATATAGTTCTGTTACTCTCTTTCCTGTGCAATTTCTATATGAACATAAGAATTCACAGGAAGGCTTTTGTTGTTGTTGTTGTTGTTTTTCCTCTTTTTTGTTGTTGTTGTTGTTGTTGTTGTTCCTCTTTTTTAATTAATAAAATCAATCTGTGCTTATTAAACATCATGATATATGGTTCAACTTATATTCATTTGTTAATACAGATTAGGCCTAATATCTACACCGCGTTTCTAACTATTGATAGAACAGACTCCACGTTTGAAAATATTCTGAATCTTCTTTCTCTTTGATTTTCTTTCCTTTCTTATTTATGGAAAGAAATAATCTACAATATGTTCTAAATTCTTTTCTCAAGTGTGTAAGATAACCTCACCTGGAAAAGATGAATTTGACAAACTTTTACATTTCAGTAAAACTTTCATTTCAAGACCAAATCTCTTCATAGAATTCTTGCACATGTGACCTTCAGATTTAATCATGTCATAATAGATAGATTCACCTCATCTGTACATTTCTGTTAGAAGATGATCTGTGATGAGTTTCCTGATCTGTTAAAATGACTTTTGCATCTTATAGACCTCCAATAGGAGATCTCATCTTCCTCTGAAATAAAACAAATCATTATGTTGAGATAATTATAAAAATAGTTCTCTCTCTCCCGACTTTAACACTGGAATCAGCATTTTGAAGGAATTTAATGGAAGCCAGGTATGTGGATTCAGTAGCACTTACTTATGATACTAGGGCAGTGTGGAAATAAGGCATCTAAGAGTAGGAGACAGAGGCATATGCCTTGAGAACCGGAATATTTTACAGAACCTAAGACTCGGCAATTCATTTAACCCCAAACACAACAATTTATCTGATGTTGCCTATCCAGCTGATTGTGCTCCCTCTCCTTTCTAGTGAAACATAAATATGATGTGGAAGATTCCTGAAAACAGCAGCATGTCCAGTACTTGGGAGAATTAAATATGCAATGATACAGTTCCATTTAAATTTAGACTCACGCAGGAACTCATTTCTAATTATTGGTGCATAAGAGTACACTTTAATACTGCAGACTAACACAAATCTACCAGGGAGTAAGCCCCATAACACTCACAGGGACTTTGGAAGTTAAGTCATGGCAACTGGACTTTCTTTTTAGTTTGAAACATTTTTCTACTCATCCAAGTAGCTTCTTCAGTCTGAGGAGAGTTTGGTAGAAGATCCCTGATATATCCTCCACGTTGGTTTCACTTCCCCCGGGTATGATCAGGCTCATTAGAAGGATTTTCACTCACCCCCAAGTCTTCTAGGGGAAGTGAAACCAACATGGAGGATATATCAGGGACCTCCTACCAAACTTTCCTCAGACTGAAGAAGCTACTTGGATGAGTAGCAAAATGTTTCAACCTAAGAAGAAAGAAGTCCAGTTGCCATGACTTAACTTCCAGATAACCTCACCTGGATGACCGAGGAGCTTCACAGATATACTCAAAGGTATATCTGAATTGGGAGAAGATTTCTACAGGCTTGGCTTATATATTAAAACATCAAACAGCTGAAAAGGAAAAAAGATACAGGTGTAATATCTTCAAAATATAACATAGCTAATATCCAATCAGATTATCAGGATTATAATCCCCATGAGTTCTGGATAATTTTTTACTCATCAAAGTAGGGTGTACAATTGATTTTCTTAATGATGGCTTGAGGAGGTGGTGGGTGGGAGGCTTTTCCAGCTTAGTTTAAGATAACATACTAACAAGAAACACACATTTCACTATCATTGATATAAAATGTAGCAAGTACAAACCACAAGCCATTGAGGAAGGTAGAAGTAAAAGAAAAGAAGACTGCGGCACCATTAATGGATTTAAAAAATCGGGAACACATCAAACAGTTTGTCATACAACTTTCACCTGAAAGTCTTTGTTCTACACATAGTGGGCTCCTCTACTACTTTTCACCTCGTCACTCTACCACAAAAGTCTTTTTTTTACCTCCTGAGTTGCTGATGCATAGAAAAGAGACTGTTTCACAGAATGAAAACAAAGCTATGTAATTAACGTTCCCTTCTCCTCTTTTCTCATGTGTTTCCCAATATCAGAAAGCCTATCCTTCTTGTTATCATTTTCCCCTCAATCTTTGCTTTTCACTTGTCATTTTTCTCCATGAAATTAAGGCATTACAAACTATGTCACAGAGTCTGCACCATTGTTCATATCTCTGGAGAGATGAGTCTACCCAGGCATTTCCGGATGGCTGATTTCATATCTTGATTCCTCAAGGTGTAGATCAAAGGATTCAAAACAGAAGTGACTACACTGTACATGAGGGTGGCTATCATGTCTACTTGCGGTGACTCTCTTGATGAGGAGCGAATGTAGTTAAACAGTACTGGCACATACAGCAAACCTACAACTGTTAGATGGGAACTGCAGGTGGAGAAGGCCTTCCATCTTTTGCTGTTTGACTTGACCTTCAGTAGAAGGAAGGAGATAATGTAGAGGTAGGAAAAGAGTGTTAGGAAGAAAGTAGTCATGGCAATTAAGACGGTGACAATATTGAGGAGACTGAGGTTGAGCGTTATGCTACTGCAGGCCAACTTCAGTACTGGCTTGATGTCACAGAAGAAGTGCTGAATGAAATTGGGGCCACAGAAATGAAGTTGGGAAGTCATGATTGCATGCATCAGAGCATGAAAGAAACCTGTCGTCCAAGTGGCAGCTGCCAGTAGAACACAGTTCCGTGTACACATGATGATTGAATAGCGTAGAGGGTAGCATATGGCGATGTAGCGATCATAAGCCATGACAGCTAAAAGAATAGCTTCACTGCTGCCTAGGAAATGGAAGAAATGCAGTTGGGTGATGCATCCAGCAAAGGAGATTCTTTGATGAGCTCTGAGAAAGCCAGACAACATTTTGGGAAGGATGACTGTAGAGTAGCAAATGTCCAGGCAAGAGAGGTTACTGAGAAAGAAATACATAGGGGTGTGAAGGTGGGTCTCTGCCGCCACCACACTGACAATAGTTCCATTGCCCAACACAGTTACTAAATAAAGCACTAAGAAAAGAGAAAACAGAATGTTCCGAAGCTCTTGTTGATCTGTTAGGCCCTTAAGTATGAAATGAGTAATCTCTGTCTCATTCTTCATTGCTACTGCAAAACCAACACTTTTTAAAGGGCTTCAATAATTTCAGCAGGGTGTGTGTGTATGTGCGTTTGTGTGTGTGTGTTTGTGTTTGTGTGTGTGTGTGTCAAAAGGTAGAATTTAAGATTCCTGTCAAGAAGATATCGAGATTTGTTGGCATTTTAGTGACAGACAACTAAAGAAATACCTTACTTTCAGCAAGGAGGCAATACATTTGTTTGTTCTTCATGAAAATCTGCAGGCCATATAGTAGTGTTACTGAGTACTGGCCAAAGTAAAATTTTGCTGTCAGATCTATTGTGGAGTTTGCAAACATACATCCAAATACAATGATTGGAGGCAGCATTCAAATTTTCTAACCTTTCTACTGTGGCTTGTAGACAAGAACTTGATGGTGGCTTCTGATCTTGCAGTATGCTCTGAAGGAAGTCCTTTTTTTCAGGAGATTATGCCAACATAGAATCTTTTCTTTCTTCCATCTGTGACATGTAAAACTGTTCAGTCTTCTCTCTAAAGGTGTGTTACTGGATGGATAAAATGGGAAGATGACTTGCTAGGCTTTCAAGTATAAAAGGAAGCATGCACATGCCATGGTAGAGCAGCAAATGTTATATCTGAACAGCAAAAGCCCTCTTGACTCTCTATGTCACTGGGGAAGCACAATCTCCATCTCTTTGGTTTGTCTTTAATGAAGTCAGTGTAGCACTTGAGATTGCCTGTATGGAACAATAACAAAACCTATAATTCCCTAGAAGGGGGACCAACTTTCAGGATAATTTGAAGAACTCTGGAGACTCTTGAAGATGCTTTGCAATAACTTCTTAATTTCCAAATATATGGACAGAAAAAAGAGTAGAAACAGAGGACATGGGTATCCTACTCTAGAGAGCAGAACTCCCAAGATGCCTCTATCCTTCAACCAGCACTTGCGTTTCCATTCTTTTTCTATCTTATTTTCTGCACTGCCAAAATCTGCCTCTGTCCCTATTTGACCTAGATTTTCATTCAGATAGGCACACAGACACACATAAACACACTTTAACCTTTTTGTCTTTTCAGGAGACATGAAAGGGGCATCATTCTCTCCAGAAATTAATATAGGCATTCAGTGCTGAGACAGATTAGGTCCAAAATGAGGCCATCAAGATCTATTAACATAGGGAAAATCCCAATATTTGCTGGTTAATTTAAAAAAAAACTGTGGAGAAAAAAACATTCAGGGAGCGAGACAATCCAATGAGGAATGAAAATGGTTGGTTCCTATTCAGCATGATGACAGCTGGGCAGGAACTGAAAACTGGGGGAGAGGTGGAATGGAATATCAAGCATAGTGGATGGGATAGCTAGCTGAAACTTTGACCAAAAGTACAGTAGGATTCCCCCCCATCCATGGGACCACTGTCCACTGATTCATTTATCTTCTGCCTGACAATTTTGGGGTAAACTCCCCCCCCCAAAAAACCCAGAAATGTATATTTATACATATTTCCAGGATGTAGGTATCAGAACTGACTTTTAGAGGGAACCAGAGACCATGCAATGTACAGTGCTTGATATTTATTCTTCCTCAGCCTGTTGCTAAAGAGCACTTTCATGGAGGGACCTGCTTTGGAGGGGCACTATAATTTGGATGCCTATATCCAATCTTTGACAAATCTGGAGGGGGTGGGGAGGAGAATTGTCTGAAAACTCACTGTGAGCTTGGCATCTCTAGCTCACTCAGAGGCCATTTTACCAACTCCCCAAAATCCATTGTCTGAAAACTCACTGTGAGCTTGGCATTTCTAGCTCACTCAGAGGCCATTCTACCATTCCCCAAAATCCAAAATTGCATGAACCATAAAACAGTTCATTTTGTCAGAAGATTCATAAAAGTTCAAGGTTTGTGAATAATGACAAACCTTGGACCATCATGAACCACCATTTTCCCAGTCCATGCCCATCTCTAGTCAGTATTTTTTTTGCATCTTGTAATTATTTAATTCTCAATCATTATCTAAGTTATTTGTTTCTGAGGATCAGCTGCTGTTCGTTTCAGTTTTATCTTTCTGTATTCTGTATAATATGGGCATGAAGAGGTCTCAGCATACTTGCTTAGGAAAAAAGTTAATGCCAATGAACATGTTTCATTCCTCAATGCCTTACCCTCTCAATAAGAGTTTTAAAAAAGAAAAAGGAGGGGGAAAACAATGTTCATTCATGCTTGTTGCTTTGGCATTGAACTTTGTCATAAGAAGTGAATGATCCTGTTTGGTATCGCCCTGGTCCTTCCATGCAATAGATGATCAGATGTTTGATGAAGAGGTAAAACTGGATAATTTCAATATGAAAATTAGGGTAGGTCTGGAGTACTATTAAGCAAGGGATCATTTCATGTGAATCTGAACAATAGAGTATTCTACATTCATGCTGGATGATGGTGGAATGAAGCTATGGTAATATCTTTCCCCTCTCAGATTGCATAGAAATGTCAGTGGTCTTTAGTTGTGTTAAGTACAATCTACCAACCAGATGCTCATGGATAAAATAATAGGTGATAGGTTAGAATGAACTGAAATAACTTGAGAAATTCATTTTAGAAATTTAGTATTGTTTGTCCCAAAAGGTCTTCAAAATATTGAGCAGAATCATGTAGGACGAAACACCAGGACTTACACACACACAAATAAGGGGTAATGGATACCTGCTTGTGATACTGGTATAGAAAGCACACACACACACACACACACACAAAGGGTAATGGATACCTGCTTGCGCTACTGGTATAGAAAACCAGCTTTCAGCCATTGTGCATGTGAGTGGGTGGGAGACAGGCTTTTGGCTAATCAGAGCTAGATATGTGACAATTGGTGGGAATACTACTGATTTTCCATCTAAGGTAGCTAACCTGGTGGTTACATCTCAAAAATCCAGAAGCAGGTTTATTTAATCCTAAGGCATCTCCAAAATGATAATAAGAGCTATAAACAAATTCAGGAACCCTACTGAGTATTTAGCCTAATTAACTGGGCTGGGTATATTTTAGAGTTCTTTCCCTAACTGGGCTCAGTAGTAATTCACTTTTAGCAGCACCTGGTCATAGATATTTGTTGGACACTCCAGTAATGTATGTCAGATAAACTTCAGATAGAAGATATATTTTTTTCCCAGCAACAAATGGAGCACTCCATCTGTTTTTCACTAGGTTCATGTCAAGTTTGTTTTATTTTGCAATGACTCCTATAATCAATATTTCCAAAAAGGGTGTGCAGTTTGCCTGATGAAATGCTGTAACACAAAATAAGAATCTGTCAAACCATTTAGACTGGAAATAACGTTCTTGTAACTGTAATAACTGGATCAATACGTTTGTTTCTTTGTAAGTGGAAGTGACAGACAACAGAGTTTAGCACTGGGTGCAGTACTAGTTTAAGTGAAATATAGTTTCGGAGGATGAAAAAAATACAGCACTGATAAAAAAAATTGGGGTTGAGGAGGTAGAGAAATAGAGCATTAAGACTGGGGAGGAACTAATGGGCTTCAATCCCAAATGAAGCTACTTCTATAATACATATATTTGTTCATATAATATATTCAAAACACAATTTGTATATACTATTATTAGTATACATTATTTATTAGATAAATTTGCAGATCCTTATTGATCATATTTGGCCACACCTTTAACCAATCAGAATCTGCTCATCAGGCAAATTAAAAAACTGGATTTATTTTTTATCCAGAACCAATGGAGCAAAAAAGACACACAATACAGGGGGTTGGATCCAAATAATTTATTTCAATAGGAATTTTACAATCTGAACAACTAAAAAGGTTATTTTCTTTTTCAACAAGTCTATAAAGCAAATACAGTTTGAAACTCCAGTTACATCCACAACTCCTATCTCATTCTATAGTGCCTGCTAAAAATACTTCTTGGAAAACTAAAGAACTGAGATGTATGTTTACTTAAAGCTTCCTTCACTTCTCTATTTCTTAGACAGTATACAATGGGATTGACAATGGGAGTTAAAACTGTATAAAAGACAGAGAATATTTTATTCAGATCTTTCAGAATGTTGGTTTTGGGAAGCATGTAGACAATGAGGAGGGTTCCGTAAAAAATGGTCACTATGGTGAGATGAGATGAGCAAGTAGAGAAGGCCTTTTGTCTCCCAATGTTGGATGGAATTCTCAGGATAGTAGAAATGATCAAACTATAAGACATCAAAGTCAAAAGAAATGGGACAAGAGCTATTAAGGGAGAGAGAATGAAAGCCATTAATTCCATCTTTTGAGTATCACCACAGGCAAGCTTAATCACTGGGGTGAAGTCACAAAAGAAATGGTCAAGAATGGGAGGGCCACAAAATGATAACTGGGACATGAGATAGGTTGTAACAGAGTTAAGGATAAAACAGAGCATACATGATCCCACTATAAACTGCATACAGACAATATTATTCATTAAGGTAGAGTAATGAAGAGGCTTACAAATGGCTAAATACCGGTCATAAGACATAGCAGCCAACAGGTAACATTCTGATCCCACCAGAGAGCCAAAGAAATAATATTGCAGAAAGCAGCCCTGAAGAGAAATTGTCTTTTTTCCTGTCAGGAAACTGCACAGCATTCTGGGTAGAATAGTTGAGCTATAGACGATCTCCAAGCAAGAAAGGGTCACCAGGAAGAAATACATGGGGGAATGAAGATTCTGATCACATGCAATAAGAACAATTATTAGAAGGTTTCCAGCTATGGTTGCAAAGTAGATAAGGAGAAACACCCAAAAGAGTAGGATCTGCAGTTCAGAAATATCAGTAAATCCGAAGAGAATGAATTCTGTGAAATCTGTTTGGTTCATCCATTCTTGGGTTCTTGTTGCATACGTCATGTGAAAAGGAAAATGCAAGAAGAGCCATGTCATGGTGTTCGGTGAATTTATTCAATGATTTTTAGTATTTCATAATATATTGGATCTGCAAGAAACACAATACATTCAAAAGTCAGATGAAAAAATTCCATTTAGGTGCTGAAATACTGGGTCAAACCAGACTAGATGGGTCTTCTCTCTAAATAGCTGTTTTCTACCCTCCAGTGAGAGATATATGCCCAACCAGCCAACCTTACACATTAAGCATGTGGTTACTTTCTAATGACTAGTTGCAGTAGAAAAGATTCTAAATGTAAGATGCAGAATCAACAGATATTTTGCAGTAGAACAGACATTTTTACCCCTTGAGGGAGCACTTCTCTATAAAACATACTATGAGTATAAATGACCCAAGCTTTATTTGCATGGACTATTTAGGACTACATGGGTTTTGGGAACTGTACCACCTCATCCAGATGTCACCAAAACCATTATGTTTTCAACATGAAAACCCGCAAAGTAACATTTGGGGCATGTTCAAACTCTGCAGCCACTGAAGTAAGTCATCCGGAGAGTATTCTTCCCCCCACTAGTGAGATGAATTGTAATTCATTTTCTGTTACAGTAAACATTTCTAATTTAACATCTGTACCTATATTTTGGTGTACACAATTTCATACAAATAAGTGGCCCCTCTTGCCCTCCTTTTTGACAATGCATAAGTGGTCCATTAAGAAACAATATCCTGTGAACTCCAATTGCAAGATAAATTGTTCACATTAATGCCTCTCTGGAACTGAATTGCTCCGGGATTAATGTATTTCTGGACCTGCGTTGTTCATGTTCAAGGCACTAAAAAGAAAAAGGAAAAGGAAAAGAAAACAAATCATCAGTGGACAATGGCATTGTCATCAGCCCCTCACAAATCAGCTTCCAGCAGTCTTCTCAAATAAGGAAATGCAAGTTCTTTAGACTAAAGGTGAACTAGTTCTAAAATAACAATAATAATTTCAATTCCTTTTATT